CATCACATGTATCATACATTTAACATACACATCCATCATATGTATCATACATTTAACATACACATCCATCATATGTATCATACATTTAACACACATAGCACTCACATTTGCCATATTTTCCACCATTTTCCTGCCAAAACAAGTCTCACACTTTTTAATAGTTAATGTTTTGATATTTTTTCATCCCTCTTTACTTTTTAACCATCTTGAAAAAATATCAACTAAATTTGTAGAAATGGAATTTGAAATGTTGTATGGTTTTTAAACAAAACAGAAATTACTCTTTATACCATGATGATTTAAAAAGGAATACTGCGTTTCTCATCTTATCAAGAACCTGCTGGTTAACAATTCAATAGTAAGCTAATACCATGTTTGGTTTTCTTCTGCTATAAAACGGGAGAACAGCTGATCAATCTATCTACATGGCACACAATCCAAGTACTGAAAGTGTTAAATGCATTCTTTTTGGGTGATGTTTTGTGCAGTATAAGTCATACTATAATTCCAACATTACAATACCATAACTCACCATGAAAAGAGTTGGAATTTGTGACAACCATGCTCCTTTCTATATCATATTCCTTCTTTCTTGTGGAAAACCATCTGGTAAATGCTCCTCCAGACTTCTACATATAAACACATACACAAAAACATTCTCCCATGATAAGACTTAAATTTATTACAAAATACTAGTTATAGAAAAAGTTTAAAGAAATAAAAAAAACTTTTTTAGTAAAAATCTTCTGGGTCATTCTTAAACACTAATCACCATACACTAAGTTATAGCAAAGCATGAGGTAAAGAATCAAAAACAATATTATATTTCACAGAAAAATTAATGAATATTAACAAAAAAAGCTAACTGTATTAACATTCATGGTTGTTTTGAACCCAAAAAAAACAAAACACTATAATCCAGCAGAACAATGACAAACTTCACCAATAAATAGCCCACATGTCCAATCAAATTTCCAAAAAATATTTCTACCTTTGAATTAAAATCCCTCAATACTGTAGATATAAGGGACACATATATGTATGTAAGAGGCTTTCAACCAGAATTCTTCCAACAAACTTTATAAAATTACTTGAAAGATAGTTGCCAAACATGCAAGTAAAAAGCATATTAAGAGCTGAAACATAATTACATTTTGACAATTTGCAAGAATAAATATCTTATCAATATCACTTTTAAATGATATTTCAATAAATGTTACTTTTTGGAAATTTTTTTTCAAGCATCCTTATTTCAGATGCTGTACTATCTAGATGAAGTATTTTTATTTACACAAACAAATATACAAATAATAACAACCTCAACAACATAACAGCAAAGAATGTTCATAATCACAGTAATATTTCTGTTGAAAAGAATATTCATACTAATATTATCTAAGCTTTTAAAAAGTAATACTTATCCCTGCTAGAGGGTATTTGTTATCTATCTTTTCATCTCAGGTTTTTGGTTTTCATATGAAAAATAAGATAACTTTTGTTGCAATTAATATAATTAGAAGCCTAATTAATCTTGTATTATGGCTGAAAAAACATTAATCCTAAAAACACTTTGATTCTTTTTTTGTTGTTGTTTTTAGCTAATTTGAATTAGTAATTAGTGATTTAGCTACAATGGCCAATCACATAATAAATATTTCTTGAGGAAGGAGTTCAATATTGAGCTCAACTGGTATCCAGGCTCAACTTGTAGGAAATATGTTTTGTTAGAATTTCACTTAGTCAAATGAACCATGGTTCAACTCAAATATATTCAGTCTAATTTCAAAGCTAATAAATTAAAGATCAATATAAGATGTAGGTACAAAACTGAAAAGAAATTTAGCTGAAAAATTGGTACTTTTCCTCAAGGCTATCTATCTGTCATTTAAGTAATGTAGTTTTGGATGGAAGTATTTCAAAGTTTTAAGGTTTGTTTCTCACAATATTGTATAGTGTTTAACCTTATGCATACAAGCTCAGTCAATTTGGCCAATCTTGTAACCGTCATGCAACAACGAAACTTTATATAACTCAAAATGTATAAAGTTTATCTTCACAAAATCTGACAAACTTTTAATAAAAATTACAAATTTGTTGTACACAAAAAATAAATTTTTTTAAAGAAGTATTTTTACTAGATTTGTCTGTGAACTTACAAAACGTGTACTGAATCAGTCTCAGTGAAAGGTGATTTTCATGCTATGAATAAAAATACTCCTTTTCATCTTCTAGTTCCATATTTCATTTGCCTAATCTCTAGAACCTCCTATATGAATATCAAAAGTTTTGTTTCAGTAAAACTCTATTCTTCATCTCTTATTTTATATACCCTAACGACAACCATACCAAAAATCATTAATGTACAGTGAAATTAAAAGTCCAAAAAAATGAAATACAATCAAAAATACCTTAGAATGACTGCATGTTTTAATAGTCAATTATTTATCCTAACAGCCTCAGCTTCTTACCTTTTTACACCTGCTTTATTTTAGTTTTATTGCTTTACAAAGAGCTTTTTAACCTTCTCACAGTACGTGAAAGCCAACACATCACAGCAGGACGTTTTAGTTGAACAAACAATCAGGCTACAATCATGAAACCACATAGTCCAAACTTCCCTTTCAGGTAATTATGGAATATATTTCATTGAACTTTTGTTATCTATCCTAATAAGCTTCTAACTTTTACATTTTAGTGTTTTTTTGTTATAAAATATATAATAAATTCAAATGTACATAAAGTAAGCTTGGCACTTACTTTACTCTTGAGGCCATTTGCATGCTAGTGCCATGGTTCTGTAACCCTACTTTTTCTCACTATGTTTAATGTCCAAAAGTTAGTTAATGTAGCTTTCAAAGTTAACATTTTCCTAAACTGAAAATGTATTTCCTATAGATATTTACCTTATACTGCCTTCTAACATAAATTTTTGCTCACAACTAGCCTTGCTACTCCCACTTATTACTGCATATTAACATGCAAATTATCGTGCAGCAACCCTCCACCAATAGGAGTGCAACCCTACCCCTATCGTTTCTGGCTCCCTCTCTGATCATGCACATGTTAATTGCTTTGAGATTGGTCATAACTAAACAAACCAAATCACACCAGAAGTGGGAAGGACAGGTGGAAAAGTGGAGAAGAGGTAATTATCTATCAGAAATATATTTTCAGTTTAGGAAAATATTAACTTCTGATATGATATCTTACTTCTGCTCACAAAATCTAGAATCCCACATTGATCCTGTGGGGGACTGGTGAGAAGATGATCCTCCTTTAGGAAGCACCCACAGGAAGACCACGAGGTGTGATAAGGAATTAAAAACAACACACCAGTGGGCGACCACACCATTTCTGAGCCTCTTCACCAAAATGTAAAGTGCAGAAACATGGAGGGGTCCCAAGAAAAATACAGAAATAATAGGGCCCCCCATTGTAGAGTGCCTAAGGCACAACAGACTGTAAATGGGAGTTTGACCTCAACCAATGCCTGGAATTGTACATCAGGTTCACTGTAGGAAGAGGATCCTCTACATTTCACCTCAAAAATGGGTACCAGCATGGAAAAGAAGCTCCTGTACCAAAAACCCATCTCCATATGTGCACACCTATAATATAACTAACACCCAATCCACCAGGAACCAGTATCCAGCTGATGGTAAGGAGGAAAGCCCAGGTGGGTGTTCATCTCCGGTCCAAAACCCAGTGGCATTGGGAATTTTTTTCATCCAGAACATGGTAGGAGGAGAGTACCCAGCCTTACAGAAGCAGAAAGTCAGGTGTCTTGTCCAGCTACAACCAACACCAGACCCACCAGGAACTGACATCAAGTGGATGGTAGGAAGAGGGAACACAAGTTTGGGGTTGCATCTCCAGTCCCAAACCTGGCAGCATTGAGAATTTATCGTCCAAGCAGTGGTACGAGGAGGGTACCAATCAAATACATGTGAGGATCACCTCCAAACAAAACCTGTCCCCAGGAATCAACATCCAGAGGATGATAAGAAGGAAGGTGTCTCAGCCAGAGAGGCAAACAGCAATATATATGGTGGAGTACTACATCCAACAATTGGCAGCATCTGGAATCATACATCAGATCGACAGTAGGAAGGGATCATGTCACTGACACCCACAGAATGTCACCACTCTACACTATACTCTCAAACTGAGTAGTATTGTGCACACTCAGGAGGTCAGGCCTCTATGGCCAACCACCCTTGTGGCTAGAAAGTGGTAAGTGGCAAGGACTCCCATGCTCCACTTCAAGAAGGAGGGAAAAGTACATTGGAGAGTCCAGAGACAATATCCTATTTTGAAATGCAGGGAACATATTGATGGAATGCATCATCCAACACCTGGCAGCATCTGGAATTGGACAACAGGTGCACATTAAGAAGAAGGAAACACTAGATAAGGACCCAAAGGCTCATCCCCAAGAAGGGCAGAACTTAGAAAACAGGTACAGAATATAACATTCCTGAATAACAAATCCATCAAAGGGGAAAGAGGTCTGGGCAAGTCCCCTGAAACAACATGTGACTAAGAGGCATATTCAGGGGGGAGAAAAAGATTGTCCAAATCCAAAACTAGAAGATCACTGAAAACCTTGTGAGGACAGTCATCAGTTCTGATTAGACAACTCTCAACAGACCAGAGTCATCACTTCATGGGACAAGAATTGTGGTTTCGACCCATTGCACATGGTCAGTAATTCATGACCACCTGAAACTGCAAGTGCATAACTCCCGAAGTTGAAAGAGGAGAGAAGATAAAATAAATCGAAACTCTCCAAGAAAAAGAATGCAAACGTAAAATAACTGATGTAGAAATTCATTAAAATAAAAATGTGTGGATAGATTAGTTAAACCATGAGCAAAAAACATGTCTAATCAGTAGGGCTGCCAAACGAGAAATGATTAACATGTGCATGATTAGAGAGGGTACTAGTTACAATAGGGATAGTGTCACACTCCTCTTTTAGGAGAGTTGCTACATGATCACTTGCATGTTAGTATGCAGTAATAAGTGGGAGTAGCAAGGCTACTGGTGAGCAAAAATATGCATCAATAGAGGGCAGTAGAAGCTGAGAAAGCTTTTTGTGAGAGAAAGTAAGATACTGTATTGGAATATGGATTTTATGACACAAACATATCAGACACTAGAATAGTACATCGCAAAACTACTATAATTTATCTGGTTTCTAGTGAAGCTACAAATAAATTATAAAATTCCATTACTGTTCGAAGCACTGACTTTAATAAACACACATCAAGCTTTTCTCTGAATCCATCAAGTTTGACCACCAAAGTTAAAGAAACAAATATAAGAAGGTGGTACACTGAATTTCTTTCTCTCTCTCTTTATTGGTTATAGACATAGTGATAAAAAATGTAAAATGTGAGTTAGAAGCCACCCTAAAGCTATGACAAGATGGAAGAAGCTTTTTTATGGGGGATTTGACAAATTTATTAATATTTCTGAAATTCAAGAACATGGGAGGTTCATATTAAACCTTCTGGCCCGCCACTATCTATTGTTTGTGCTTCTAATTGGTTGGACACTATGAAAAACATAAAAGGGGTTAAAGAAAAAATATATATAGGAGAATTCAAGGTGCAAGATTTAGAAATTAAGTTAAACACTTCCTTTTTAAATTAAGAAATTAAATCTCAGATAATATAAAAATTTGAATTACAAAGTACATTTTTATGCTAAGTTTATTGACTTAGGGTTAAGTTCGGCTGTTAGCCTGTTGCAAACATTCAACTTTTAAACACTACTAACTGTCATACTGACCTATTTAGTCTGAAAAAGTATATACTTATTCTTGAATTGAAAAATATTCTAAGCTTCAAATGATCAAATACCTATAGTAATATACAATGACGTCAACAAAACAAAGTCTTGATGGCATACTGAAAGATTGTTAAATCTTGTTTCACTAATAAATCATAGATAAAATCTTCTTATCTCACCTATTTTGTATTACCTGCAAAACAAAACAGGAATTGGATAAGACTCAAAGGGTTCTAAATTTACCTCTCCCAGCTTTCTGTTCTTTTTCCTTTTTTCTTCTTTTTGCCCATTATTCTAGCAGCCAAGCCCACTCCCGAAGTTTCTTCTTTCGAGTCCTCACTTCCAGAGCTAGCAGATTGTTGACCACCACCCCACCTACATCCATCTTCTGATCCAAGTTGGTCCAGGTCCACTTCTTCATAAATATTGTCATCAGGATTCACCTCTAAGACAGATGCTGAGGAATAAACAATAACTGGTCAGACTCAGCAGCACAATAAATGTACTAAGCTGCAAAATTACAAAATCAATAAAATATGGCAAGATCATCTGCAAACAATAGATTAAGTGACTGCAACATCATAAAAATTTTAGGTCACTTTTCAAACCATTAATACTTTTTGTAGAAAGGAAAGTACTGTAATATACAATTCAAATGTGATTAAGAATTATCCAGTTAATCTATTTAAATTTTAAAATGAAAAGGTAAAACACTGCTTTTGTATTTATTTAACCAAATTACAATTCAAACTTATAGATAACCAAACAACTTTCTGAAAAATAATCCATTTTTTCTTTGTACCTAGTAAATTTTAATTAAGAAAAATTGCTATACTTAAAAGTTGAGTGTCTCCTTGACTGATGGTAGAACAGGTACAGTATAATAAAAATGGGTAAAAATCCACAACTACACCTACAATGTGTAATGCCTCTTTGAGTAACACTATCATATTTAATGCAGCTTATAACAGCAAACACTGAATACAAACACAATTCTTAGCTGTTCATAATCCATACCCTCAAGATAAAAAATCCTAAATGATAAAACTAGCCCCGAAGCTGTTTGTTTGTTTGTTTTGAATTTCGTGCAAATCTACACAAGGGCTATTTGCGCTAGCCGTCCCTAATTTAGCAGTGTAAGACTAGAGAGAAGACAGCTAGTCATCACCATCCACCGCCAACTCTTGTGATACTCTTTTATCAACAAATAGTGGGATTGACCTTCACCTTATAACACCCCCACAGCTGACAGTGCGAGCATGTTTGGTGGGACGGAGATTCGAACCCGCAGATTGCGAGTCAATTGCCCTATCTACATGGCCATGTTGGACCACCAGGAAGCTGACAGCCATCATGCACTCTTTCAAAATCAAGTATGAGCTGCAGGAATAAATAATACTTGTGTCATGAAAAATACCACATTTAAAAGCACACACACAGCTCTTCACTGGATGACACACTATTAGTAACCCAACTACATAAATTATAACTGATACTATTCAATACTGCATTCTTAGCTGGTCATATACCAAAAAAAAGAAAAATGAAAAGCCAGATAATAACAGAAATGCAAAAAAAAAAACCAGTTCTGTGTTCAAATATTACATAAATACTGTAAGTATGAGTTTTTCAAAAATATTCCTACCAAGTATGGTGAAACTAGCTAATATAAAAATAATACACTGTTTTACTGTTAGAGCTGGATATTAACTTGATTACCTTTGAGCATAGGTTACATTGATTAGAGTCAAGTAAAACAATCAGCTACTTGAAACTATAGTGTTTTTCAATTTTTTCCAACTATTGCAGTAATTTAAATTTTGCCCTTATAATATGTTATTACTTTCATTTAATTCACGGTTATTCAGCTTAATTGCTTAGTATCACAACTCAGAAAAATAACTGAAATCAGTGTTTCTGATTATAATTTTTTTTTTTATTATTCCAACTACTCAAGTCTCATGTGAGAATAATCAATTACCTAATTCCAGTAATTGACCAGATCTACATATCATGAGGGTATTTCAAAGGTACAGGGAAAATTAAATTCTGTAGCTTTGGAAGTCAGGAAAGAGTACCTTATTATGAAAGTACTTTATTTTATAAATGGAGGGAATAATTCTATGACCTTGGAAGTGTGGAAGAAATAAAATTAAAACATCCTTGCTAATCCCCACAAATTCATTTCGAGATTAAGCTAGTTTAACAATTAGAGAAAAATGTTTTATGATAGTGAAAAGAAAAACTTATGCAAATGCTGCTCATCTGTAAAATGTAAGGTGATTTCCAATAAATTCACATAGAAAATATTTCAGATGTAAACACAAAATAGTATCTTTGTGCAATTTATGAGTCTGGTATTTTTAATAAGAGAGAACTTATGTCAAGAAACCAGTACTCATTTCACCATGCACTTTATCTTAATATATTTATGAAACAACAAGTTTATATGATAACGAGTTTCTAAACTTTCAACGTGTCTTCTTTAGTCCAAATTTTGTTTGTAAAAGAAATAAACACATGACTTAAGTTACAGCTGAAGTTCCAAGTTGCTTCAGGACACAAAAAATCAGAAAGAGATTCAACTTAAAGCAATCTTCCAAAATACTTTCATCTGCATTAAAGTTTAGAATGCTTTGTATTAGTAAGCTTTCCATGATTCTTTTTATATAATTTCAAGTTTTATGTATTACTTTGACTGATTTCCAGATGATTTGATGATAAAGATTCTTCTTGAGTAGGAAAATAGCATTATATGTTTATCATTTTTAACATCATTTTTATGTTTTGTGATTCTTGTATTTAAATTTCTTTCCATTTCACCAGTAACCTTTATTTTAGGATTGGTATGGTTATATACTGACACCATCCTCTTTCTATTGAAGAATAGTTGTTTGACAGTAACAAATTTTTAAAGGTGTTGGAATGTCTATAAAAAGCTTTTAAATTGTTGTTTTTCAGACATTTCCCTAAAGCCACAATACTAGAATTATAGTTGACACTATGTATTTTCCTTTTAATTTTCACATATATATGTTGTTGGTTGTTATTTAAACAACTTCTCACTTTCATTTTGATGGGCATTTTCATAAAACTATAGAATATTGTAATTTTCGAAAACTATGAATATTTTTGGTTTCTTCATCAAGATATAAGATATTAAAAACATTGAACTTATAATTAATATTTTAATCAATTTGTGGCTTTACAAAAAAAGTGAATACAGCTTAATGGGTTAGTTGGTTTTGCTTATGTTCTACTTATCAGATTGTCAAAAAATAAGAGTGAATTATTGGTTTTCCATTCCATATTAAACTTAATAACACTGAAAAGCTTGTTAATCTTCTGGAAAAAGCCTTGAAAATCATTTCTATTGTTTGGCCAAACAGAAAATGTGTCACCTATTTGTTGGAACCACGTGATTTCCCTTGTATGCAGATCCATTGTAATTCACTTTCAAAACTCTTCATAAATATGTTATATATAATTGGGATAAAGGATTGCCCATAGTCAATGGAAATGAATCTTCAGTTTTAAAGAAACTCATAACCTCATATAAGATGCAAAAAAGTGTCAAAACTTGTTTCCACATAATTGTTGTGGAATAATAATGGATCTTATCTTCATTTTAGATTACATGGTATTGTGTATTTATTATATTATTAACTGCTCACCTGTCTACCAAAGTATTTTTTTCCCAGTAAATTGAGCAAAAACAAAACAAGAATATGTGTATTGCCAAATATTGTGAATAATATGCACACTTTAAACAAACCTGTGAAAGCTTTGTCATTTAAAAAAAAAATTAAATTACCATGAAACAAATCCAAAATGGACACATCAAATAATTTATCACAGTCCAGTGACCACACACAGAAACACACAATGCATAAAACAAAACTAAATACCAAGCTTTCAGTATAGAAAGACATGTACCTTCAAGAAAAACCATTTGCTAAAAGTAAATTAAACTAAAAACTAAGCATATTTACATGACCTAACTATACAATGTTTGAAAGATTAATACAGCCTGACAAACACTAAATTTCTCTTAAATCAAAGGCCTTGTATACTTTTATTAAAACATCTAATCACCATTAATTATCAGAAGTTAATGCACCAAAGAATTTTGGATAGTGAAACCGTTTTCTACTAAAACTGTGGGTTTTAGCAATACCCAAGTATGAAAAAGGTTTTAAAAATTCAGGAGCATACAAAAAAAAAGCAGAAACAAAATAATCATGCTATAGGATTTATATCAAGAGCTATATTATTAAGATTCACAGACAAAAAACAGGAGGACACTATTAAACTATATAATCAATATATTTTTTATGAAACAGTATCTGGATTACAAATCGAGCCATAACTTTTGGATGACCATTGACATTTTCTAGTTTACACTGACCTTTCAGGTTTTTGAACTATTGTTCACACAGTAATACTTCTGCATTTAATTACGTGATTAATAACCGCAACATGAGATGTGAAATGTACAAAATGCTTAGCAAAAGACAAAAATATATACTCAGTTTATTATATTTTTGAACTCAAACTTATATCTAAAACACTTGTTTAGAATTGCATAAAAATTAATTTTTGGCAAAGACATCACTCCACACATTTAAGAAACTAATGATACTTATTATGAACTCAAATTTAATACATCAAAATCAACACTTGCCTGATAAGATAAAAAATCTTATTTTTGGTTCCCTAGAAAGCAAGGTTAAGTAGTAGCAGTAAAAATTCATAGAACATTTATAATACCATTACAAAATCATAGAGTATATAATAACACACAATGTTTCCCACATTTTCATAGTAGTATAAAGAAGTTACAAAAGCAGAAAAGAGAAAATGCATAAACATAGGCTTTAACAAATAGAATAATTATTTCAAATCATGTGAGAAGTCTGCTTGTCACATGACCTATATGTTTACTTATTAGATATCTTTACACACTGTTGGACAAAGATGTTCACTCACTTGTTTATTGACCTTTGTTTTATAGTGTTCTGTTTTGTACAAGTAATTTTTTCCAAGCACAAGGCAGGATATAAGGAAACAGGAAATAACCAATCAAGAGGGTAAGAGAGGCAGATCATTAATTACATGAAGAGGATAGATGAAAGAAAAGAGGTTACCAAGTTAGTCACCAGCCACCAACCAACCTGGAGAGTTTCTGTGGGAATCATCGTAGAGCATGTACAAAGGTCCCTCACTAACTGATTGGAGACTGGCTGCAATTAGGGCAGAGAAAAACATGTGTACAGTTCTTTATATTAATATCAAACCACCACTTAAGCCTTCCTGAAACTTTAATACTTACATTGGATTAAATATAGTAATTACTATATACATTTTTATAAATAAGTCACTATTAAAACAAATTTCTTAATTATGGATATAAAAAACCTAGCTCTTTTCAAGACAATCATACAAGCATATAAACTTAAAATTGTACAAAAAAATAACATAAAAAATTGGCAGCATTATAATACAAGGTAAAATTGAAAAACCTGACCTCAAGAAATTCTTCAAAACTTCAATGACAAATATGAAAAATAAAACAATTTATTTTCAGGCACATTGTGCTACTGTACATTAAGAGTAAAAAAAATGTTTTGTTTATTGTTTTTCTCTCTTAATATAGAAAGAAGAACAATAGATTTTGATTTATGATGTATATAAAATTATGACTAAGCTGTCAGCAATATCTAGCAAAACTTCATTATATCCATTAGATACAGCAGCTCTGAAATTTCTAAGTTTTCTGCACTAGTACCATCTGGAAGCAGTTAATATGTACAGGTATATTTAATAGTCACACAACCTGCATCATTTAAAAAAATATATATATATACATATTGAAGCAGGTGATCTTAATGAAAGCCAAAAACTCTCTCATCCATATACATTTTCACTAAATATTGGCAAGAGTTCAATTGTCAAAATTTGTCATTTTTTTCTCATACACTGTTTCTAATTCCATTGTTATATTTATACAAAAGTTTTACACAAACAAATCTTCACTTGGTTTAAAACTTGTGGCTAAATCTTTCAACAAGATTAGATCTTTTAGGCTTTTTCCGTAAAACCTTAAATACACACGTAATTTCCATACCCAGCTAGTCTTTGTTAGTTCTGCTCCAGCTGACATGCACGTTGTATAAAAATATTGATTCCTACCATGCTATGACAAATTTCTTGACTCGTGTTGAATATTACACATACACATTTGCATATTATAAATGTACACTATATAACACTTAATACCTGTATATTAGTAATATATTACATATACAGAATTTAATAAATAGAGTTTAAAATCAAAAATGAAGAGTTGCTGTAGTGAAAATGTAAAAATTAACTAGAGTAATATACAGGTATTTTAACATAAAAGGACAGGTATTTAACCAAATGATAAAATTATTTTAAATAACTAATCTACAAAGTAATAATTACAAAAAATTTATTTTGCAACATCTCAATGGGTTTTCATAAAAATTTGGCAGTTCTGATGCAAAAAATTCACATCAAGTGTTATTTACACAGGTAAACAAATTGCTCTAAACCACATGCTAAATTCCATGGCTATTATGGAATAAAACTGCACTTAAGCTTCAACATATGTATTAACATCACATGCACACAAAAATAGCTACTTAAAATGCTTATCTAGGTTAATTTTCAAACCATCAAATAGACATGCCTGTGTTTTAAGTATATATATCTTGAGTTTCATGCATACGTAGTTTATATTTTTCTTTCCTTGCCTCCTTGAGCAATATGTATATGCACTGTTTCTGGGATGCTGATCATGGTCACTTTGTAGCAGTTAATGCTTGTGATGGGTCGTAAAGGACCTGAACTCAGCTCTTTTAAATTTGCTCTACTTTAAACAAGGTTAATTTAGATTTTGAAAATTTAGTGACATTTGATAAATCAATGTATATTCATTGCTGGATAAACTGTATATATGCAATTATGTAGATTTATAGCTCCTGAGGAAAGGTCAAAGACTGTATTTTTTATTTTTTTTTACTCTTCTTACACCTAAATAAACCACAGTAATCTGTTAAAAGATGCCTTTCTTCTTCCTTGAAACCTTTTTTTTTTTATGTAGTTGGTCAATAAATGAAACAAAGTACATGTACTACCCCTGCAAAAAGTATACAGACACCCCTTAAATATCCCGTATGGTCAACCCAGTATACTATACATGTAAGCTCAATAAAAGCAAATAATATAGAAACAGACAAGTTCGATATGTTAGTAGCATCAAAGTGTGTCCAAAATGCCAACTCATCTTCAATTAAATGACTTTGAAAAAAAATAAAGATTGCTAAAATGGTGGAAACTAAACATGTGAAATAATTGCCATGCTTAACCACATCTAATTCAGTGTGTATGAGATCACACAAGTGTTGGGGACTTGATGGTACAATAGTTGTAAAATGTTAACGGTGACTAGAAGTGCTGTCAAAATGAATTTTAAAAAAGTACCAGGGTATTTTAAAATGAATTTTTGTTGATGTAACTGTATCCTACTTAACCACATCTGAATAGTAGAGGGAACAGCTGGTCAAAATCACTATCATCTTGGTCATGTTCAAACTGAAGAGAAAGAAAATCAGTTGAAAATATAGGAGGATTAGGCCCACCAGCTGTCACATCCTCCACACCATCATTGTTGACAAAGGTCCCATGTTGGTAACATCATCACTACCATAGGATGAATTAGATGATACCATCGTTTGAGAACTCATAATGGGTAAGTAGAAGGAAAGGAACAAAAAATGTTTTCTATTTTAGTAATAAAAAGTTAAAACTGATTGGGTTAACTTGAAATCATAGAGCCCATCCTCCCAGTTGTAAGCAGTTGACTAAAGTTTAAAAAGAGCAATGGAAATAAAATGCACTAGACACCTGTCAGAACCTATATAAAAACATACTTCATAAAAAATAATATATCAGTTATTCATGAAATAGTAGTTCTAAAATATGCTAGAATAGTTTTCAGATGCATACAGAAGAGACTTAATCTATTCAAGATACCACTTAGCCCTTTCCAGACAGGTCGCAGGTGAAAGGCAATGTCATTGCTTTTGTTGACTCAAAATTTTATTGAACTACTGTTTTATGAATTTATGTCAATAAGTTTGGTATCAAACTATGGATTATAATTCAAATTTTAGTATTATACATTACTCAATTTAAATGTAAATATTAAAAAAAACACAGATAAACATTGATTTTTGTATGTCACGTGGTATGCTGAATGCGGCACTAGTTCAAATTAGATGTTTGTAATGTCTATAGTTCTGCATGAACTAGGAACTCAAATTACTGATATTGACAAGCTAGAATATAAAATAAGAATTTCTTATATTTTCTATTTGGTAAGATATTGCTCATGTAATGAATCAAACATGTTCCATCAAAATAAAAACTTTAACAATGTACATCTCTGATTATTCTGTTCAAAAGAAGTTTGCTAGACACAAAACTATACATAATGCATTTTTGCCTTAAAAGAAAATAATTACATCATAAAAACAAAACAATATTTATAAATTTATTCTTCTCAGTAAATTAATCTCTAAAGGAACTCCTTTTGAACACTAATTCATACATATACATGTAAGTTGAAACTTTGTCATGAAATAAAAAATTTCACTTATTCATTCACCTTGCTGCAGCTTGACTCGACAATAGAAAGTAATGTTGTAATTTTAAGCTACCCCTTACTAATCAATATGTAATTTTTTCCTAACTTATATAGTTTGAGACTGTTGCAATTTGTATCTCTACAAGTAAGTGTGATCATAAGGAAATAAATATACTTGTATTTTAACCACTTCACATAAGGTATAGCAAAGAATCTGATGTATGGGGTGTAATATTGTCCTTTCTACATGTTATTAAGAAATATCAAACTCGTATATTTGCAGAGAAGTGGTGCTTAAAAGCAGGATGTTATTGTTCTAAATTCTAACTCTGATAATAATCTAGATTCCCTGCACTATCTTGTGGTGTTCTAAGTTAGAACTCTTTCCAAACTTTTGTTTTTCCAACTCAAGTGTGAATTTACATTGTACAAAAAATTTTGTTTCTAATTTGGAAATGGTCATAATCACTACTGCTGGAAAAAATTTTGAATTTAAGACATATCAACATCTGCATGATAATAAAGTTACAACAATCAATAGGTTTGCCTTCCATTTACAACTCCTAATTAAAAACATAACTAATCATTCTTTTTCTTTAAAGACAACAAAGTTAGAGTAAGCTTAGCTCAGACAGATGATATAACATCTGTATACTGTTTATACTGTAGTTAGAGAAAGAATAAAGAAATATATCATATTATTATTTAGAAACAAATTATTTTTTACTTTTCAGTCTACTACCTTTAACCCATCAGCTGCTACAGTCCTCATATGAGGTTTCGAGTGCAACGGTCCTCATATGAGGTTCAGAATCCTGCAGCCTATAATTCAAATGTGTGCAAAAATTTTCAGCCACACAGAGTCCCATACATCATGTTGTGCTTCCTTCTGTCCACCCATACTATCCCCAGCACTCAGTTGCATCTCATAAGTCATGGAGGGTGCATATGTCTTCCTCTGATAGTGAGCCTGTTCTGTCAACTTCTAGCAGTACTGGTGGTGCAAGAAAGAAAATTATTGCAAAGAAAAGACAGCCTGTGAAGAGAAAGATAGAAAAACAGTTTATAAGCAGTAGTGAGGAAGATATAAATGATCCAGTGCCTCCACATGATCATAACGCCAAGCACCCACCACCGCCTATGCATCCAAAAAAAGAAAAAGGCTTGAAAAACATTGATGCCTTCCAAGTGGATGTCCAGGATTTTCGACTCTGATAGAGATGTTTCGTCAAAGGAACCAGAAGTCAAGGGTTGGGACTCAGATAGTGAGGGAGAATGTTGGGTTCAGGATATTGAAGTAAGTGGTGACAAGTCATCGGGGGAGGAGGAGGAGACACTTGCCTCTTTTCTTCTACATGAGGCTACTCATGCACCCCTTGTGTGGAACAATGGTTATACTTTTCAGCCAGATGTTCATGATTTTAACAGATAGCATTCAGGTGTAATGGAGGACTGGCCTCATGGTGATAATGCAAAAGAACTTGACTATTTTGAGACTTTCTTTGCCCAGGAATTGATATTATTTATTGTCACAGAAACCAACAAATATTACAGGTACATAGTGGATAACATTATATTCATGCCTAAGTTCCACATTCATAGATGGATAGACATGCATGTGCAAAAATTGTATGTATTTTTTGTCCTACTTTTATTGATGCCCCTTATAAAGAAACATAGGCTTCAGGATTATTGAGAAATTAACCCATTGATTGGAACCCCAATTTTTGGAAAATACATGACCAGGAACAGGTTTCTCCTCCTCCTAACGTTTTTATACTTCGCTGAAAATAACCATCCATCTGAGAATGATCAAATATGGAAACTTAGAGAAGAGTTTGCTATAATAACTTAAAGATTCAGCAAAGTCTTTTATCTATTCCATAAGCTAGTGATCGATGAATCTAGTTTTGTTCAAAGGTAGGCTTGTTTTTACACAGTATATACCATCAAAATACCATCGATTTGGAATAAAACTTTTTGTTTTATGCTGTTGTGAAACTGGAATTGTCTTAGATACAATCATGTATTTTGGTACTGACATTGACATCCCAAAAAATGACCCTCTTGGAATCTCTGGTGCTGTGGTGAAGAATCTGATGGCAAAGTATATGGGAAAAGGGCATTTATTATACACTGATAATTGGTGTTCGTCACCAGATTTGTGTAATTTCATGCATGCACTAAACACTGGAACATGTTGAACCACGAGAAAGAACCAGCAACACATGACAAAGTTTAATGCATGAATGCAGCATGATGAATGTGAGCAAAAAAATTCAGGTAAAGTACAAGTGACGAACTGGCATGACAAACATGATGTGACAATGATCAGTACCTTTTACAAAAGTGAAATACACGACAGTGGCAAAGTGGACTATAAAACTAAGGAACCTATAATGAAACCAGATGCAGTGATTGACTATACAGAGAACATAAGGCTTGTTGACAAAAGTGATGCACAGATTAGAAGGACAGAATGTGTGAGAAAAACACTGAAGTGGTATCACAAACTCTTTATACCTATGCTTGATGTCACCATCCTTAATGCATATAATGTATACTTGGTCAAAAGCAGAAAAAGAATGAAACTAAGAGAATTTAGTTACAATGTGGTGTTTCACATTCTTGAGAAATATGGAACACTCACTGCATCTGGCCAGGAATGATGGTGTGAATCTACCTGACAGACTCCTTGCCAAAGAATGGGCTAATCGTCACTTTCTGACACACATATAGATGGATATAGGATGCTATGAAAAGGTGACATGTTATGTGTGCTTCAGTTCATCACTACAAAAGCAACAGAAGAAAAAAATATCTACAGCCTGCAAGGAATGTAAGCTAGGATTTTGTTTGGATTGCTTCAGGAAATAACACACCACGAATAAGTACTGAAATGTAATAAAGTAGAAATTGTACATAATAATGTGAAAATGTATATACTGAAACGTAATGTAGTGAGGAAGAAACTGTACACAGTAAAGTGCAATTGTATATAATATTGAAGTGGAAATTGCACATACAATAAATAATAGTGATAAGTCATGCTAAGTGCAAGTAAATTGATATCAAGAGCATAAGTCACCCATCCCTCCACCCTCCTCCAACACCTCGCTTTGCTGTCACTCCTAGTGAGTGCCGCCAGGGTTGCCAGCAGCCGTCAATATGCCATATTCACAACCTCACCATGGCAAAACAAAGGTAGACAAATGATGTTTTTTTTTCATAGCCCATTGCTCTGCATAATCTTCTTGAATTCTACAAGAACAAAATATGATTTTAGCAACCTTAATGTTTCGGTATTTATTGTACACACGCGAATATCATTAAATTCCTTTTGCCGCATCTAATGGGTTAAAATATAAGCTTACTAATCTAAGAATGGTAATAACATTAGAAAAATGTTGTTTTTTTTGTTTAATTATATGCACACCTTAAACTTTCCAGCAAATTAACAAGCTCTTTCCTTGTTCTGTCCATACATAATATTGTGGTTGCATATCTTGCAAAACCCTGGGTATTTTAAAATACAAATATAGAATAAAACAGATGATAAATACTGTACCTGCAAGTTCTTGAAAAAATTCAAGAGCTATTAGTGAAAAATATTGTGTGTTGTTTATTTTAACAAATTAAGATTTAAAAACAATATAATGACTTCACAGTATAAATATTCTTGGTATAAATTATAACCGAGTGACAAAACTGTGAAAATGGACATTGACTGCCTTACAAGGACAGCAGAACTTTACTGAAAGGGTTTTAACAAAGAAAACTAAAGCAATAATATTTTCAGAAGTCTTCTATGATCAGATTAGAATAACAACTGGTTACACTTCATATGTATAAGATGTTTGTTGAGGATGGTGTCTGTGTGTTGATCAGTGATAACCACGGACTTCTAAACTAAACATTCGTCTCTGTTGGGTGAAGGCTCTAGTGTGTTTATGTGGAAAGCTTTCTTGATCACTCTGGTTTTACAAAACATTTGTGTGTCAATGAGCCTTAACTGTCTCACTTCATTGAATGTCCTGTTACAAAATGTGTTCCTCAATAGTGAGTTTTCATTAGTCTCCTACGGTCTTTGTTTTCTTTTATTCTTGCAGCAGAATGCTACCCTGTCTCTCCAAAACAAGTGAGGGTAGATGGGAGTATCAAGGTTAGTAGCAAGCAATAATTTGTGCATATACAGGGTAGTACAAGTCAGGAAAAACTACTTTGTGAGATAAGGTAAGATATCGTATCAGAAATTTTGTTATAAAGAGGAAATTGTTTCCCAAGCAGGAGAATAACTTACAGGTCTCTACCACACAATCTAGGCAACTTCAAGTCCATGCACTACTACAATTATGCCAAGTTTTGTTGACGGATTTAAAATGAATTGCACAAGAGTGAAAACAGGCTTAGGGTTCACTTTCCCCACATAAATACATTTTGAAAGATACAGATACATGAACATCATACAACTACTTATCTAGAGTGATATATGGCTGAAATATTTCGAAGTAAGTGCTTCAAACTTGGAGTTCTGAAATTTCTTAAAAGTTATGCCCATAACATCAGGTACTTAAGTAAGGAAGCATATTATGATAATAAAGTAAAGGCAAACAATGATGTATAAGCATAAGGAAGAGTTTTATTTATGGTGGAACATACTACATTTTGACAAAACATTGGTATGTCTTCTTCAGGTATGATCTGTACTAAACAATACAGGGTTTATATATATTTACATAGACAAAAGATACAATAATTAAATGTAATGGAAATTATGACATTGGGTATCAAGGTGTTTAAAAATTCAATGAAAGTATAAGTAGATATTGCCACCACACATAAGATCTAACATCCATCTGTCACAGAAAATATCCTCGTACTTCACCTACATAAATTGTGCTATACAACTTTGCACTTATTAACTGAATTGAACTACTTCAAGAATATAGCACTATCTAGAGGTTTCAGCCCCAGCATCATAAATAGGGCTTTTATTAAGCTTTAAAACCATAGGAAATATGTCAACTCTAACCTTTCACCTATTAACAACATAAAACATAGCAAATTTGTTACATTCCTGTTCATGCCAGAAATTGCCAACAGAATTACTAACCTATTTAATAATGTGAGAATCGATGTAAAAACTGTAGTCAAACCTTCACATAAGATTAACACCTTACTTCTTAACCTGAAAGAACCCCTAATAAAGGAACAAAAACAAGGCAAATATAGTATCCCATGTGAATGTGGAAAGAAATACACAAGAGAAATATCACGTTCCTTAGAAATAAGATGCAAAGAACACCAAGGTCACATGCGTAGAGGTGAATTTCAGATATCCACTTTCACATATCACCAATTTGAAACATGCCACAAAATACTTTAGAATGAAATTCTTCTCTTACACAAACCCAAGACTTAAAGAAAAAAAAGACTGTTTAAAAACTTTTGAAATCATCAAAGCAAATGATCTCTCACTAAACCATGATAATGGCCCTAGCAACATCAGCCATATTTGGCAAGGTCTATTCACCGCTAAAACACTTGATCAGACTTGACCTTCACCTATATCCTGTCACCCTCTGACATCATTTCCATCACACTGAATGTTTGTCTCTTTTGTCTTTGTAACTATATATATATATATATAAACCCTGCACTGCTTAGTACAGATCATACCTGAAGAAAACAATGTTCTGTTGAAACATGTAGCATGTTCCACCATCAATAAAACTCTTCTTTATGCTTATAAATTATTGATTGCCTATCTATTATTATAACGTCAGGATTTAACAGGTTAATGCTGGTGACACTATTAGCCTTCAAAACTATGAATTAGTCTATTTGTCAAGATCTACTAATCTTGAGTGATATAAATTATAACATTGAAAGTTATTAAGCATACACTACATTATGAAATAAAAAATTATAATAATC